ACATAATCACATAGATAATTAAACAAACACACATAATCACACAAATAATTACACAAACACACATAATCACATAGATAATTAAACAAACACACATAATCACATAGATAATTAAACAAACACACATAATCACACAGATAATTACACAAACAAACACATAATTACACAAACACACACATAATCACACACATAATTACACCAACACACACATAATCACACACATAATTACACAAACACATACACAATTACACAAACACACACATAATCACACACATAATTACACCAACACACACATAATCACACACATAATCACACAAACACATACACAATTACACAAACACACACATAATCACACACATAATTACACCAACACACACATAATCACACACATAATTACACACATAATTACACAAACACATACACAATTACACAAACACATACACAATTACACAAACACACACATAATCAAACACATAATTACACACATAATTACACAAACACACACATAATTATAAAAACACACACATAATCACACAGATAATTACACAAACACACATAATCACATAGATAATTAAACAAACACACATAATCACACAGATAATTACACAAACACACATAATCACATAGATAATTAAACAAACACACATAATCACACAGATAATTACACAAACACACATAAGCACACAGATAATTACACAGACACACACAATCGCACAGATAATTACACAAACACACATAATCACACAGATAATTACACAAACACACACATACTCATACACAAAATTACACAAACAAACACACATAATCGCACAGATAATTACACAAACACACACATAATCACACAGATAATTACACAAACACACACATTAGCACACAGATAATTACACAAACACACATAATCACAAAGATAATCCCACAAACACACACATAATTACACAAACACACACATAATTATACAAACACACACATAATCACATAAATGCACAACCACACACATAATCACATAATTACACAAACACACACATAATCACACAGACAATTCCACAAAAACACACATAAGCACACATATAATTACACAAACACACATAATCACACAGATAATTACACAAACACACACATAATCACACAGATAATTACACAAACAAACACACATAATCACACAGATAATTACACAAACACACACATAATCACACAGATAATTACACAAGCGCACACATAATCACACAGATAATTACACAAACAAACACACATAATCACACACATAATTACACAAACACACACATAATCACACAGATAATCCCACAAACACACACATAATTACACAAACACACATAATTATACAAACACACACATAATCACACAGACAATTCCACAAACACACACACACACGTAATCACACACATAATTACACAAACACACACATAATCACACACATAATTACACAAACACACACATAATCACACACATAATTACACAAACACACATATAATAACAGACATAATTACACAAACACACACATAATCACGCACAAAATTACACAAACACACACATAATCCCACAAACACACATAATCACACAGTCACTTACACATGCCTAATCACACAGACTTACACATTATCATACAAACGCACAAATGAAATGTATATAACATTTTGAGCCATTTTGTCATATTGTAAGTTTAAATTGTCTGCCTACAACTTGACAGTCGTGGAGACTTGATATTAAATTTTCTTCAAACTTACATCGACAAGGTTTGGTTTTCAACCAAAAGTATATTGGCATCCCTTTTGTGATCGCATATAGTATATCGTGCAAGAACGATAAAATATTTTTTCAACAAGGAAAATGTTCAAATCTTTCCAACTCCGACAACTAACAACGACAGGGTACAGGCTAACTGTCCATCTTGACCAACTGACAGCGTACAGGCTAACTGTCCAAGTTGACCACAGACAACAGCGTACAGGCTAACTGTCCATCTTGACCAACTGACAGCGTACAGGCTAACTGTCCAAGTTTACCACAGACAACAGCGTACAGGCTAACTGTCCATCTTGACCAACAACGACAGCGTACAGGCTAACTGTCCAAGTTGACCACAGACAACAGCGTACAGGCTAACTGTCCAAGTTGACCACAGACAACAGCGTACAGGCTAACTGTCCATCTTGACCAACAACGACAGCGTACAGGCTAACTGTCCAAGTTGACCACAGACAACAGCGTACAGGCTAACTGTCCAAGTTGACCACAGACAACAGCGTACAGGCTAACTGTCCATCTTGACCAACTAACAGCGTACAGGCTAACTGTCCAAGTTGACCACAGATGTCCTATACCCAGGTACCCCAGTGTTACCCTTGGTTAAACCTCAGACAAGATCATTCCCTCGTCATCCCGGGAAGGATGTCTTATGTCTGTCTTATGTCTGTCTTATGTCTGTCTTATGTCTGTCTTATGTCTGTCTTATGTCTGTCTTATGTCTGTCTTATGTCTGTCTTATGTCTGTCTTATGTCTGTCTTATGTCTGTCTTATGTCTGTCTTATGTCTGTCTCATGTCTGCCTCATGTCTGTTTTATGTCTGTCTTATGTCTGTCTTATGTCTGTCTTATGTCTGTCTTATGTCTGTCTTATGTCTGTCTTATGTCTGTCTTATGTCTGTCTTATGTCTGTCTTATGTCTGCATAAAGTCTGTCTCAAGTCTGTCTCACGTCTGATGACTTTAAATCTACCTTTGCTGCAGGAAAGCTCCCTCACACGGCCGATCAGCTGGCGGCGTAATTAAAAACAGTGCATACTAATTACCGAAAACTAAATATCTCGACATAAAAGAAACATTTTTTTCGACACCTTTGGCATGTAGTTTACCACCCCCCCCCAACACACACACCATAAGCCGTCGTGTTGATTTGGGTTCATTGACCCGAGAAATCTGCTTCTACTACCTTCGTCCCTCCCCTCCCCCCACCTATTTGTTTTAATGCACATGCCACTACGGTAAAAATAAGTTTTAGCATAGCAGTAGGGACTTGAACACAGACCGTGGAATGCGCTATTCTATTTACTTTCTTCCAGACATTCTAATACTTATGTGTGTGTGTGTAGTGTGTGTGTGTGTGTTTCACTCTGTATGTGTGTGACTGTGTGTATGTGTGTGACTGTGCGTTTCTGTGTGTTTACTTCGGCCGGCTTTCCTTTATATAAAGAAAATTCTACTTGATGTGACAGTGATGTTAGGAAAACATCTGGATGTTTGCCTATGTTGATGTGTGATGTCATGAAAACATCGGATGTTCACCTCACATTGAACCCTGGGAACGTGACGCCGTTGCACGCGGCTATTATCCAGCGCCATCTACCGGTCATATTTTCCTGCCGGTCAGTGGTCTTGCGACTTGAACCGGAAATGCATCGTCCCCGTGTAAACTCGCGAGCCCACACATTCCCACACATTCCCACAGACACGGGGCGAGACCAGCCCTGTCCCCACGATCCTTACCCTGACCCCTGGCCCCGCCTGACCCCCGATTCCTAAACTCCCATGGTGCAAGCCAATGCAGGTGAGACAAAGCCAGGGGGAGATAATAGAACAGGTGGGGGAGACAACTACCGCGGACCAGATGAAATCGGGTAGCGCCCCATTCATCTGCAATACAATCTGTTCTGTCAGCCCACCCCTCCCCTCCCCTCCCCCACCCCTCCCCCACCCCTCCCCCACCCCGCGCCGTATTGAAGGAGACGAACAGAAAGCACCCAGCAACATTTTCCATTGACCAGCCTACCGGACAAATTGTCGTAACTAGACAACAACTTCATCCTTCAATGTCCTCAACAATGTCCTCAACAATGTCCTCAGCAACAATGGTGGCCCAACACAACAATCATCAGCTAGACCAAGATGGGGGGGGGGGGGGGATATTGTATGGCTACCCTCTAATGATTATCTTGTAATTAGCGGATGTTGGATTTGGGTTTTTTTTTTCAAAGTCACCCCTTTAGTTAAATGTGTATTTCTAAAACAAACACGTTTTAAGCAATTGAAATAAAACTACCAATTCTTAAAGATTAATCTCTAACTTGCTATATTTGAAAATGTGATTAGTATATGTTTTCTCTTATTAAATGTGATTAGTATATGTTTTCTCTTGTAAAATGTGATTAGTATATGTTGTCACTTGTAAAATGTGATTAGTATATGTTGTCACTTGTAAAATGAGATATGCGTATATGCTGTAAAACATTCAAGTTTGTTTTGTTGATGAAAGTGTACCTTGTAATAATGATGTAAAAATTTTCTAAGGGTAATAATAAGTAATATTGTTATTGTAAAATATCCATATTTTCTAAGGGTAATAATAAATAATATTATTATTGTAAAATATCCATATTTTCTAAGGGTAATAATAAATAATATTGTTATTGTAAAATATCCATATTTTCTAAGGGTAATAATAAATAATATTGTTATTGTAAAATATCCATATTTTTTAAGGGTTATATTGATGTTGTAAAATAACCTTATTTTCGAGGGTAATATTGATGTTGTATTTTGAACGGGTAATATTGATGTAGTAAAATAACCTTATTTTGAACGGGTAATATTGATGTAGTAAAATAACCTTATTTTCGAGGGTTATATTGATGTTGTAAAATAACCTTATTTTCGAGGGTAATATTGATGTTGTAAAATAACCTTATTTTGAACGGGTAATATTGATGTAGTAAAATAACCTTATTTTGAACGGGTAATATTGATGTTGTAAAATAACCTTATTTTCGAGGGTAATATTGATGTAGTAAAATAACCTTATTTTGAACGGGTAATATTGATGTAGTAAAATAACCTTATTTTGAAAGGGTGATATTGATGTAGTAAAACATCAGAGATGGTAACGAAGAAGTTCATTCATATAATAAGCAAAAAATACTAAAATGTAATTGAGGAACCATCACTAAAATGTAATTGAGGAACCATCAAGACAACGTTCAGGGCCATACTCACTTTTTCCAGGGGGTTTCAGGATGGCTGGTCCACACGGCCGAGCATATATCATTGCAGTACATGGTGGTCTGGTGACGTAATACGACCTGTCCTCCCTATCACCTTACACAACTCACAACCTGGGGAGGAGTCAGATGACGTCACTTTAGTTCAAAGGTTATACATCAGATCAGACGGTGTGGTGATGTTTGCTGTGTCTGCTTGTTTTGTCAATTAATTACTTTATTTAAAAAGTTAATGTAGCAATTCAGTTCATGATTTGTGTCATGATATTGTCTGATGATTTTTTTTTTTTTTGGTCGTGTTTTATCAGCTACTTTGTGTGAATCATTTTATCCAATGAATTAATCTGAGTTTTATAGATTGACTGAAAGCGCCGTGAAATATTATTTCAAAAATCAGCCTGTGATAGTACCCAGCAAATGGGCCACGTAAAAAACTTCTGCTGTCAATTACTTTCAGCTCTAACAAAAATAAGTTGCGCTTTATTTTACAAACTTTATTTGGTGTTACGGGGAGGGGTGTTGTCAGTTGGTAGTCAAGTCTTGTAGATCATCTCCGACCCAATTCTACCCGACCTGATCTTGTGTTCTTAGCTGGCGACAAGTCACTGCAATCTAATTTCAATCTAATTAATTATTTAATTAACATAAAATATAATTTACGGACTACGGGCACGAATTAGAGTTGAGAGATCGCGAGCTACTGATCAGATGTTACAGCAAATATTTTAGACGTGAGAGATATCGATAGCAGAGATATATCGACAACAGAGAAATATCGACAACAGAATGTATTTAAAACGTATTTATTTATTTTAGGTGTTTTTTTTTTACCATTTCCAGATAGTAAGTAGTAGATAATAAAGCAAGAATTACAAATGTAAAAATATTTATTGGAACTAAAATGTTAAGAAAAGATATATACAAGTGTAGGTTGATCAACAGCGCTAGTCGCTGGGAAATATTTTCAATACATCTCAATAACCAACTCATGACGATTCTAAAAGTAGGGAAAAAAATATTTTAGTGCACTTAAAAACTTTTTAAAAAAATATTCATATTAGTGCAGTTGATGTTTTTTTTTAAATATTCATATTAGTACACTTAAAAACTTAATGATTTAAAAAATTTCTATGTCCCTTATTTTAGATCCCCACCGACAATTTAATTGTCGCCTGAATTATGAACTCTCCCGGGCATCACATATGAGACAATTTGGATTGCAACTTGTTTACAACTTCACTTCAGCAACAATTTACTAGATCTAGATCAAGCCATAGTTGTCTAGTTTCAGTAAACAAAAAGATAGTTCAAACATAACCAATTGTTTTGTTTCTTCCGTCGTTTGAACAGTAAATTAAGGTCGTTAAAACAGTGTTATACCGTCTTGTACCCAGCTGTACCGTTTTGTACCGTTTTGTACCATGCTGTAACGTTCTGTACCCTGCTGTACCGTGTTGTACCCTGCTGTACCGTGTTGTACCGTGTTGTACCCTGCTGTACCGTGTTGTACCCTGCTGTACCGGTAACGCCCGTCATGTTTAAGGGGTCTAAAATCCATCCATTTAAAAAAAATGAAATTTTCTCCGTATATTGGTATGCGTGTAAAGGGGGTTGGCAAAACACCCATCTGTCTGCTAAATATGTTGTGTGGTGGTTATGGTGGTAATTGTGGTGGTGGTGGTGATGGTGGTGGTGATGGTGGTGGTGGGGGGGAGTTCTATTAAAATAGTTTAATTATATTTTAATATTGAAACTATTATCGCCTATCTTTGACTGTCATGTTTTATCAAATAATGTTTTAAAATGTTTTATCATTCTGTCACTAACACACTCAGTCGTCTGCTGGGTATAAATAAACTACAAAGACCAGACCGGAAGACGCAACCAAACTTCTCGCGGCTTCTACGACATATGTCGCTATTTTGTTTCGGTAAAAATCCGTTCGGAAAATGTCATCAAAAATTAAATAACCGAATCATCAGTGGTCAAAATAATTAGTTAATTAGCCGAGAGGGTTCCTTTCCCAAAACCAGCCGAGTCAACTCGCTGAAGAAAAAATGTATTTTTAATAGCCTTCTTAATTAAGTGGTAATTAGTATAATAATTTTTGTTATAAAGGGTATAGTTCAAAATAATTAAATGACAGCAAAATACCGAAACTCGTTAGATTAGTTATGAAGAAAAAAAATTAAAATCTGTTTCCTTAAAATCGATTAGAGAATGAATAAGGTCTCATCCCAGTGAGTGTAAAAATTGTAGCCTAATCCTTATAATTCGACATTTTACAATAGGTTTAGTATCTTCACTACCGCCGAGTTTCATAATCAACTGTAGTTGTTAGTTTGTGCTAGCTACGAATTTTATTAAATGGGTGTTGTATTAGAGTTATCTCTCTTTCTTACAGTAGCTCAACAACGACCGTGGCCCAAAGGTTTTGACGTGTTTCGGGAGATTTAGACTTGGCCACGCTAGACTTGGCCACGCTAGACTCGGCCACACTACACTTGGCCACGCTAGACTTGGCCACACTACACTTGGCCACGCTTGACTTGGCCACGCTAGACTCGGCCACGCTAGACTCGGCCACGCTAGACTTGGCCACGCTACACTTGGCCACGCTAGACTCGGCCACGCTAGACTCGGCCACGCTACACTTGGCCACGCTAGACTCGGCCACGCTAGACTTGGCCACGCTACACTTGGCCACGCTAGACTCGGCCACGCTAGACTCGGCCACGCTACACTTGGCCACGCTAGACTCGGCCACGCTAGACTCGGCCACGCTACACTTGGCCACGCTAGACTCGGCCACGCTAGACTCGGCCACGCTACACTTGGCCACGCTAGACTCGGCCACGCTAGACTCGGCCACGCTACACTTGGCCACGCTAGACTCGGCCACCATGGACTTAGCTACACTAAACTTTAAAAAATGTCGGCGCTACTGGTGGCCATCTTAAATCGGCGCGTAACTAAGCGACCTCTTGACCAAAACATTGACCAAACGACCTTAACCTTTGCCCTCTAGAAAGGACCTACCCGGCCACCAAGACATAAAGTTCCGATAGAACTGACGTAGAACTATTCGTCTGAACGTAGGAGATAATGATAGGACTATGATTCTTAATTAGCACTTTACTATCCTTACAATCAAACTATGCCCATCAAGTGAATGTCAATAAGACAGGTGAAGTAGAGTTACCATTGAGAACTCGTTTTTAAAGACGACACAACCATTAGTTAAACTCGTGGTGCCTTCATGCAGTATCTCCACAATTCTTAGGGAACTCGAGAGACACGGCATGGGATCATTCTAACTAACGTTTTTTTAATTAGTCTCACCTTATCCAAACTCCCACGTGACTGTGTGTTTATCCATATCCACCTGCTGATCCAGCCGCATGATCCAAACTGGATTAACTCCCTGTACCGAACAAATCCAAATATCTCTCCGGATTACTCACTTTTTTAATCCAACGACCACCTTCTCTGGAAAAACACACGGAAATCCTCCCAACGATTCACTTTTTTTTCCGTCCTTTCTAAATTCACTAGAAATTCACGAGAAATTCACAAGAAATTCACGAGAAAAGCGTTGAAACATCCAAAAAGTCCTATTGCCGTGTGGCCAGATAAATTTTGTTTTGTTTGAAATCAAATTATCCCACTCTGGAAGCCGCGAAACTCCAGCCAAAATTTCACATGGTCAGTGGAGCGTGAAACGTGAATGTTACACAGATGTCATAACCACACTCGGGCCAGGCTTCCTCACACAACATGCATCACAGACATGGTTTGTGCCACAGAGGAAACTATTTTTATTGAACTATCGGAAATTGATCTCAACAACTCTACAGGATATACTTCCGAACATCAAAAGACGCATAGTTTTAATTCACTAGTTAACTGACTCTAGAACAAATATTTTACAATTAAAATTAAAATTAAAACAAAACTCCGCTCGCTGCCCCCCCCCCCCCCTCACACACTTTAGTCAACCCGTTGGAAGTCTGTAAAATATAGTTAGACTTTGGGTTAAGGTTAGTTTTAAGGTTAACTAAAACCCGTCGATTGTAGCAGGTAGAGGGTAAGTGTCGACTCTAGTTCCATTTTTCGCCTATAAAATTATGTTTTAAGTAATTAAAATTACTTATAATTAAGACAATTAGGGTATTTTAAAACAAACGATTGAAAATGTTTAGTTTATCAATGTCATGGATCGTCAAAAAAAAATTCTGTTGAAATCGTCAATTCATTAGATCTGGCACAATAACACAACAACCTGTATCTGTTTTGGCTACAGCTCTAATGGTGCCATTAAAACAATCAGGAAATATTTCAACGGTTTCACTCTCAAGACGAGGGATCCATCACGGACTTATGACGTAATCAACGGTTGCTCGACAATTAGCCAAGTGTCAGCGTAAGATTGATTAATTAGATTGATTAATTAGGGCTTAATTGGGTCGCAGGCGAGTCTTGTTGTTTTAGTTGTTGCCGAGCGCGTGGAAGATGTCACGTGCCCAGTCAACCGTGACTTGCGCGTGTCGTGACGTCAGCTTTCACCGTTGTGGCCTCAAGTCTCCAGACTAGCTAGCCCATGTACACCAGACTCTAGCTAGCCCATGTACACCAGACTCTAGCTAGCCCATGTACACCAGACTCTAGCTAGCCCATGTACACCAGACTCTAGCTAGCCCATGTACACCAGTCTCTAGCTAGCCCATGTACACCAGACTCTAGCTAGCCCATGTACACCAGTCTCTAGCTAGCCCATGTACACCAGACTCTAGCTAGCCCGTGTACACCAGACTCTAGCTAGCCCATGTACACCAGACTCTAGCTAGCCCGTGTACACCAGACTCTAGCTAGCCCATGTACACCAGACTCTAGCTAGCCCATGTACACCAGACTCTAGCTAGCCCATGTACACCAGACTCTAGCTAGCCCATGTACACCAGACTCTAGCTAGCCCGTGTACACCAGACTCTAGCTAGCCCGTGTACACCAGACTCTAGCTAGCCCATGTACACCAGACTCTAGCTAGCCCATGTACACCAGACTCTAGCTAGCCCATGTACACCAGACTCTAGCTAGCCCATGTACACCAGACTCTAGCTAGCCCATGTACACCAGACTCTAGCTAGCCCATGTACACCAGACTCTAGCTAGCCCATGTACACCAGACTCTAGCTAGCCCATGTACACCAGTCTCTAGCTAGCCCATGTACACCAGACTCTAGCTAGCCCATGTACACCAGTCTCTAGCTAGCCCATGTACACCAGACTCTAGCTAGCCCGTGTACACCAGACTCTAGCTAGCCCATGTACACCAGACTCTAGCTAGCCCGTGTACACCAGACTCTAGCTAGCCCATGTACACCAGACTCTAGCTAGCCCATGTACACCAGACTCTAGCTAGCCCATGTACACCAGACTCTAGCTAGCCCATGTACACCAGACTCTAGCTAGCCCATGTACACCAGACTCTAGCTAGCCCATGTACACCAGACTCTAGCTAGCCCATGTACACCAGACTCTAGCTAGCCCATGTACACCAGACTCTAGCTAGCCCATGTACACCAGACTCTAGATAGCCCATTACACCAGACTCTAGCTAGCCCATGTACACCAGACTCTAGCTAGCCCATGTACACCAGACTCTAGCTAGCCCATGTACACCAGACTCTAGCTAGCCTATGTACACCAGACTCTAGCTAGCCCATGTACACCAGACTCTAGCTAGCCCATGTACACCAGACTCTAGCTAGCCCATGTACACCAGACTCTAGCTAGCCCATGTACACCAGACTCTAGCTAGCCCATGTACACCAGACTCTAGCTAGCCCATGTACACCAGACTCTAGCTAGCCCATGTACACCAGACTCCAGCTAGCCCATGTACACCAGACTCCAGCTAGCCCATGTACACCAGACTCTAGCTAGCCCATGTACACCAGACTCTAGCTAGCCCATGTACACCAGACTCTAGCTAGCCCGTGTACACCAGACTCTAGCTAGCCCATGTACACCAGACTCTAGCTAGCCCATGTACACCAGACTCTAGCTAGCCCTAACCCCAAATCTGGTTTAGTATTTGAAGAAAAAAAAATCGTGTATGAACACAAAACTCATCTACTTCGCTTAGCGCTTTAAATATCCTCTTGTTTTAACGATACCCCTTGTATATGATGTGAATATCCCTGTGGTAAAGATTTGAATATCCCAGTTTTAAGATGTGAATATCCCTTGTGGTAAAGATTTGAATATCCCAGTTTTAAGATGTGAATATCCCTGTGTTAAAGATTCGAATATCCCAGTTTTAAGATGTGAATAGCCCTCGTCTAAAACGTGGATATCTGTTTTAATGCCATAATTAAATGTGGTTCCTGTTCTAGTCACTACAACTTGGTAAGTTTATTACACTTTTAAAATAATTGAACTTTTTTTTTCATTTAGGTCAAATTCCCCCCTACAAGCTCCTCCCAAGCCAGACTATGATGTAACACCCCCCCCCCCCCGACAGCCTCGCTCCCACACATGTGCCAGTCCCCGCCCCCAGACCAGTCATTAGTTACCATCTCTCTGTATGCGTAACCACGGACGCTTTTAACTGTTGCCAAGGCGGCTTTTAACTGCTCCAATGTTCCTCAAATCTCCCTTAACCCTCAGCGGTTAATGACGGATTAACCCTAACCGCCCCGTGCGATCAGGTTCCCAGCAGCCTGTGCTGGAATAACAAGAGGGAAGCGGCCGGACTACTTTCAGGAATTACTGCGCGGACTTGTGGAGTTAGTGTCAGCCGAGGTGAAGGGGCGGGGGAGGGATGTGCTGGGTCGCTCTGCTCGCGAATTTTTCGGTTACAACTTGTAGAAATTAGCAAGAAATACGTTTTTTAAAAATAGCCAGTTATTTCCGATAACGAATTTTAAACTATTTTATGAAAAAAGTGAAAACAAATATTTTTTGTACTAATAGAATCGACATAAGTAAATATCGGCCCTAGATAAGCCTATATATATTTAAGCATTCAAAAATACGACTTATCTTTAATATATTATAGTTATATATGCCTCTCTTTCTCTCTCTCTCTCTCTCTCTGTATATATATATATATATATATATATATATATATATATATATATATATATATATATATATATATATATATACTAGCCGTCCCGGCCAGGCCCTGCTCTGGCTTCTGTGAAAAACCTTTCCGTTAAAGACCATTACCTGTGTGTTTAGTAATCATCATAAACCCGGCATTGCCCACCCAAACCACAACCAACCAAAACAACAAAACGCAAACATAACGCTAACACAATTAGAAATACAAACGAAAACAAAAACCTAACAACAAACCCAACCACAACCACAAACACCAATACAAACATAAAGAAAAAACAAACGAAAACAAAAACCTAACAACAAACCCAACCACAAACACCAATACCAAAAAAAAAACAACGAAAAAGCAAACGAAAACAAACCA